ACTCGGTGGGTGATGCTGTCACTATCACACCGGCCGCCTTTACTTTCCAGAACTACACTAGGTACTCCTTTAAGGCTGGGTCAACCTGGAAGCCAAAGTAATTTTCGAAAAATATTGCTCCGTTAAGACCTGAACCACAATCTTCTGATCCGTAGGTCAGCGTCAGTAGTTATATAGCAAGCTTTCAGGCATACTTCTTTATCCTTTAGCTCCTCCTAGCTCCTTTAGCCTGCTGCCCTGACTGGACCCTGGACTTTGGACCATGGAGCCTGCCTGAAAGGGCCATATTTTAAGAAAAGGGGAGACAATTTTGACATATGCCGCTAACTTTTATTGACCTTTTTTTTAGTAAATTAAAAAGCGGAAGTTGCGGGTCAAGTTGTCGTGTCAGGTGATCGGATTTGCGGGTCATCGAGGGGTTACAACTGCGATAATTATATCAAAGTTGGCGATCGTCGTACCTCAAGATTAATTACAGGTGGTTTTATCGGTAGTCAGGCTGCGATATATTTGATGTATGGAATGTTCAGCATGTCATGATGTTGATTGTGTCCCTATGGTGTGGATACGCCTCTCTCTCTCTCTGATATAACGGTGATCAAGCATGTCGTAAGTATCTGCTTATAGTTGGTGTATTATTGTCTTTGACCATATGATGAGACGCGGGGTGGCGGGGATAGCGCAGGGTATTGTGGATGCTGCGGTTGGTGCGGGTGCTGATATAATTATCCCAGCACAGTAGCTATCATACTTGTCTGCAGCCACCAAAGTCAAGGATTTTTTACAGTGACCTTCAGTATGGCTGTCAGGAAAGGCTAAAGTAAAAAGACACATATAGCCACCTTAGACCTTTCGGTGCCAATGTTTGTATATCGGACATCTGGGCGACCTGGAGAAGTGGTGTGGTGGGGGAGAAAAGGGGGGGGGGGGTAAGAGGCAAAGCATTAGTTGTGCATCACGATCACAGTATAAGTTGGTTGTAGACTTGGGAAAGGGGGGGGGGGGGGGGGGGGGAATTCCTTTAGAGACTATACAACTGATTTGTTAATCTGTTCCAAATAGCGTCGTGGAGAAAGCAGATGATCTTTTTGAAAGCATAAACAGACAAAAGCTGACTAGTTACAGTCGTAATTATTACATAAATGCTACTGATAATATCTGTAATAAACACACACACGCGCGCGCACACGCACGCGATAAAAATACAGCTGCTAATACCAGGCATGTATTGTGATGTTTTAAACGGCGTTTGAAAGACAATGGACAACAGCTTACACACCAGACAACACACTAGACCAGTGATTCCCAAACTGTTCGCCGCGGCGGTCCAGAGAGCCGCGGCCTTTTGACAGGGGCGCACCGCGCCGCGAAATATTGTAAAAGCTTCATAATTAATTTTACCCAGACACAAATAGTCATACTTTTACTTAGGTTAGTGTGCCGTGGAAAAATTTTAATTTAAAAAAGGCGCCACGACCAAGAACAGTTTGGGAAACACTGCACTAGACAATAAAGACATTGATAGCTAGAGACATGGCAGATCAGAGCTCGGATCGGTTTGATTTTGACAAAGAAATACTAACGTCGAAATGAAATTATGCTGTTATCGCTATAGGAGCAGTCGTGTAGTTAACGTTTTGTAGCACAGCTCTCTTCTTCGTTGCGTATGTTGTTATCACACCCAGGTTCGTCTTTAGGTTTGCTACAGGAGGAGTCGATTGGAAGATTATAGACGAGGAGAAAGATGGTCGTGTGGATAATGGTGATGATGATGATGATGTCATGCTAGCTGCATGCTTCTCACGTGACTCAGATGCCTGTATAATAAGATGGCTGGAAACAACAGTTCTCGTCTACACCGTCTTTATTGTGAAACTTTAACAATGTCACAAATACATCAATGATATTATGAATAGCGCTGTGTTCTCTCTATGGTTACGTACTGTTAAGGTCGCGTTGTGTTTTTCATCTCTGGTTACTTACGTTCTAGTGTCTCAAACTGCCACCTGGCTTCTAGTGCTTTTTGGTACTAACGGCTTGATCATCGACTCTATAGTGTTCCTAATGTGTCTCTGTTAACCATGGATCCATGTATCTTATGTGTTGTCTCTGTAGTTCGATGTCTTGTTTAATGTCTCCTCTCTAGTGTTTGTCTTCGAGGTTCAATATGACTGACTCCGCTCCTTCTAGTGTTGAAGCTGGCATCTCCACAACTGCGAGGATCATTGAGACTAATCGCTCGTCCTCTGAGTCTCAACGACTGAAGACATTCTTTAAGTTGACATCTCTACGACAGAAGGCTGCCTTGAGAGTCAATGTTACTGGTCTCTCCTCTCTTGAGTCTTGTGGACTGAAGAATTGCTCAGTTGTGCTTTGTTACTCATTATTTATACTTGGATGCTGGAATGCTAAGTATTTGTTTTCTTCTCGCTTTTTTCTGCTTCTGAAATATTCTAGTACGTCTCAACTTATTTACTATGTGCGTTCTCACGTGGGATTTTCTAATTATATCTCGATTGCATCAGACTTCATCATCTTTTTCTGCGCAGCTATAGTAGTTAGATTGACAGCTGTCCTTTTCGAAAACAAGTACAATTGCGTTTGCTTTGATAAGGCACGACAACAAGGTATTTACTAGTATGACAAGGTTGGGTCACATAATGAAACAAACGCATTTCAAAACTTCTAGAAAGAAGGCCAAGGCCAGACAACCTCAGTTTGATGTCAACAGCTAGTTTTGGCGGGAAAAGAAGATTCTGGAAAAGGGAATGTCAAGGTTACCAAAACTTGTTGATCTTCTAATATTCTAGCTTTGTGCCTCCTAACAAACAAGCTATGAGCTCACTCTGTTACAGTTTGACTAGCCTGTCATTATACTTACCAATGTCCCCCGTGTTGGTTCCAGGGCTCCATTGTGGAGAAAAACAAGAATTGACCCACTGCATCCCTAATAAGGCATGTCGTAGGCGTCGACTTATTAATGAATTCCTTCGAGGTCTTTATCTGCCGGAGAACCAACAGTCTGCATACAGTTAGGCCCGATTTGCAAAACGGGTGCACAGGCAAACTCAATTTCTTGAACAAATCCAAAGTTCATAAAAGGACGAACAGTAAGGATTTTCCGCTGGTGAACGCAAGCAGCACACAACTTACCTATGTATTGAGCTAACTGTAAATTCCTACCTACATATACACATACCTGTTCAGCTTTGCGCATACCTACATACTTTTGTACATAACTACCTATCGTTGTACATCCTTGCCTGCGTGTTTAGACAAAGTCTACCTTAAATCCACCTTTCCTTTACCTACTTATATACAGAATTTACCTACATATCCATCTACTTACCGGCTACTTTAACCACGTATTTTTACTCACTATCCACCTTTATACCTATCCAATCATCTATTGATGTTTATCGGCAGCAGTGGAAACTGATGATGATGGCCTAAATCTTTTTTCTACATAACCTAGGGAAGATATCTGTCGTGAAATGATAGCCATTACGCATCGGTCTGTAAGGCTGATAACCTGTCTTACCTGTAATCTGCACAAAATTCAAACTTGGACTCGCCCAGAAATATATAGTCCCTTATATCTATATATATAGGCCTGTATTGGACAACATTATTATGTCTGCCTTTTCTGGTTACTTTAACTAAACTCCACTTTTAAATGTATATCTCTTAGAGATATATTTAGGGAGTTATTTGAGGTTTCTTGGAAACCGATTTACTCCTTGCCCCAGTATACAAGGAACTTCTTTTGTACCAACGCCTGAAGTGTCTAAGCGACGCTATTCTCCTTGCCAGCTTCTCAAGAGTCCAGATGTGTTAATCTGTGCCTGTATAACTTTCACTTTTCAAGGCAATCTGGAAATGTCTCAGTTTTTACATATGCTTGGGATGTATATTTTCTGAAGAGCTGGCAGAAGATTCACAGTCTCACCAACATCCACCAACCATCCAACCACCAGAACCAACTTGTTGCCCACCAGATAACACCTGTGAAGGTTCCTGACATCTCCAAAATGTGGGAGATTGTGCCGCAAACAGCTACCAGTGCTAGAGCTTAATGTGGCTCAAAGACATTGTGTGTCCTTACTGGTGATAGAGACTTGCTAGATACCAGTACAGTTGCTGTACAGTGAAGTACTCTTACTACTTGATCCAGTGGAGCAGAATTCCCAGAGTCAAAGACAGTCGAATCATCCAGAGCTGAGGGAGGCATCATAGACAGAGAGGAGAGAAGATAAGTCTAATGCTTCGCATGATGTTGTGTTCCCCACAGCTCCTTGTGTCCAGTGATGAAAAGATGTCATCTCCAAGGCCTTCTGTCTGTGTAGATCCTAGTGATTTGGACATGATATCCTGAGATCTGGCAATTGTCTCACTTTTATATATCTAATTTATATTGATTACATACATTCATTTTCATGGCTGACTTAGGTGTCTCTATTTCACCTTTTTAAGTGTTTAGCAGTTGTGTATGTGTGTGTATCTTCATTATATGTGTTAACATGGTTATGATAATGAACTATCATAACCTGGGGGCTTTCTTTAGTAAGTAGTGGGGGTGTCCAGCCAAGTGTGCCTAGAAATATTATATATATATACTGACATATTTTGTAGTGCCAATACTTGAGTTGCCCTACTCCAGAGATAAGTTGATCGTATATTGGCCACGGGGAATCCCTTAGACCAATACGAGCCAAACGACTCAACATAATTATCTCTGAGTGCTGTTGGTTCTGAAGGAGGAATCCTTACATTAGGCACGCGGCAGGAGTGATATGTGACAATATCGCAGGAATGTTTTTGGCAGTGAATAATTTGGTACCGGTATTCAGAAGAGTGCCATTGATGTCTGTTGTATTACTGGCATGTCGAAAGTTTTGTTGTTGTTTCCTAATGGCCTGGATATTAAATGATATGACACTAGTCGTTTGTTATTCTGTGAAGCTGAGGGGATTCTAGTTTAGGGGAGGGTGTGTGTGTGTATGTATGTGTGTGGTTGGGGGGGGGGGGAATACAAGTTGGTCAAGCGAACATGGAGGGTGAACAGGAGCATTGTCAAATAAAATCATGAAATACACCCACCCACACACACCAACCCACACACATACGCACTCACACACACGTACGCACACACATCGGCACATTCGTGCGGGAATCTATAGTGACTGAAAGTTCCTTTTTCACCGTAGGCTCATCCCTTGGAGTATGTGGTTTCGTGATTAGCTGTTTTCGAAACCAAGAATCTCTCTCTCTCTCTTCTCTCGCTCTCTCTCTTCTCTCGCTCTCGCTCTCTCTCTCTCTCTCTCTCTCTCTCTCTCTCTCTCTCTCTCTCTCTCTCTCTCTCTCTCTCTCTCTGACACACACGGCAGACAGGAAGACACCAAAATCAAGTGTTTTGACAGTACACTATATTATCGGATGCATAGGCCTGTTTGCATTTCCTACCACATATCTATCAGCATGTGTATAAACGGTGTGTGGGTTGTCCGAGAAACGGCTTGCTTATCTTACCTCTGATATTGCCATCCAGTAATATTCCAGTAAATGTACAGCACTCAGCTATGCTGATTGTGGTCATTAGTGATAATTACACGGCTGGATACCTGCTATATATATATATATATATATATATACACACACACACACATACTAGCTGTACCCGGCTACGCGTTGCTGTGGCATAGTTTAACTAAACTGAAAAGAAAGAAAATAGAAATCTTGCTTCGTGTCACGCCAGCGATGTAGGATGTCTTCACTCCTGTAGATTTGTATCTTTCATAAAACAGTTACTGTGACTTAAATCTATCGTAGTAAACAGTTTGTTACCCCCGATCCCACTTCCACAATTCACCGACTACTCTTTCCCTCACCGAAGTAGTTGGGGAAATTACCCAAGTGAAAAGCAACGAAAACAGGAAAAATACACCATAATTACAAAATCAACGCTATGGTAAACTGTACCCAGCGCGCGTTGCTACGCCTCCAATAGAAATTCAATTGAAAGGAAAGTCGATATAACAATATGTAGTATTTTTTTATATTAGATAATTGTGCTGTTTACATATCCTTAGGAAAACAACAGGCAATTTAAAATGTCATTGTAATTGTTTACTGAAGGGCTTTCGGGCATAGAATGTTCTTAGTTTGTCCGTCTGGTGCGTATACGAATAAATCAGGTTTCCCTACGCGTGAACAGGCCACATATAGCTGTCCATGTGAATAGCATGGATGTTATGGATGTTCCAAATGTAGTCCGCACGCTTGCTCTGACTGTCCCTGTGATTTGTTGATGGTCATTGCAAAGGCGAGTCGCACCGGAAACTGCAAGCGTCTGAATTCGAATGGCATGTCTGTTGGAATTGCGTTGCAATAGTATATCATGGCCCTTAAATGTTCATGTAAAATTGTACTTACAATGATATTGGGCACCATATTTTTCACTGAAAGCCTGATACCAGTGCAAAGATGTGGCGGATTGATGTTTCTGAGAAGAACGACAGGCACGCCAACTTTCAAGGTTAAATAAAACATGGATGGCATGCCTGGAAAATCAAGCGAATTCAAGAACTCAGTTGGATAATTGACAACCTCGTCTTGAATCATTACAGTATCGATAGACTTATACGTTGTCACTCCGCCTAGTAGTTTGTCCTGACTGTTCGGATTCATGGCATACACATCCTTGTTGTTAGCTGCTAATATAGCACGTTCACTGAGCCACTGATGATTCTTGTAAGTCTGTGTGATATTAGGGAAAACTTTATGAATCAGTTCGTCTGTGGTAGCTGTAAGTTTACAGAAGTTTGTTGGCAATGTGAAACATAGTGTGGATTCATCGATTGGCATTGTCCCATTCCCAATATCCAAGAACTATTTTGCAAAACGTTCAGCGGTTGCATCATGTTGTAGTTGTATACACATATTGGTCTTCAAAGTCAATATATGTATGTGTCGCCACACAATTTCTGCAATGAAGAATTATATCACTCAAGTTAAAGTCTTCGCCATCCATAACAATCGCCACTTCATCAATTATTGGTGCATAGTACTGTCTGTCGTGTTGCCGACAGATGTTTTGTCAGCTCTAAGTACAGCTCTGTAGTCATCAGCTGGTATTTGTTGAAGAGCGGTTCTGAACAATCTAATTAATTTGTTGTGTTGATCGAATAAAGTTTGTAAAGCAGCGACTATTTCTCGTTGTGTCTCCTTATTGAATCGACAATGTTGATTAATTTGTTGATCAGTGTTTCCCATAAAATAAATCTTGAGAAATTTGGAATCTGCGTCGGGCAGTGGTAGTAGTGAGCCAGCACGATGATAAATCTGGCCTTGCACTTTGAATGTTGGCATGTGATTCTCGCGCACAATATTTGTTGCGCAGAATGATGTCATCTGGAAACATTAATTGTATTTGCGAAGGTTTGCCAAGAAATGTTTCAACTGGCCTGTGTCACCTGCTACCAATGATGATAATAGTTCGGATGGTGAATGTAATACTGGCAATTTAACTTGTCCACCCGCGCAGCACATTCCCGATGTTTCATTCTTAAATTTGAAGGCATGCAATGTACGCACACTTTATCCATTTTGCCAATAAGCACCTGTGGATGAAGACTGTAATCATAATTGCTGTTGTAATGGAATGCACCAAGATTCAAATCAACATGCGGTGTTCGCTTGGATAAAGTAGTGCGCATTCGAACGGTTTCCAGTCTTGCTTTCCGTTGCTCGATTGTTTATAAACGGACTTAAGCAGTGCGTACTCTATTGGTTTCCAGTCTTGCTTCTCGATGCTCGTCTGACTGAGACGATTTAGCTTCAGCGGTGCGCACTCGAACGTTTTCTAGTCTTGCTCTCCGTTGCTGGTCTGATTGAGATGAACGGGCTTCAGTAGTGCGCACTCAAGTGGTTTCCAGTCTTACCTCATGTTGCTCGACTGTTTCTGAAGCAATTATTGACCTTCCCTTGCGTGTTTAAGGTGTAGACGGGCCAATTGCTTGTCGTTTGGGAGGCACAACTGCAAATTTTAACGAAATAGTGAACAGCGTGTGAATTTAGTGTGCGTTGATCGTCAATAGCTTGTTCGTCCTCACGCACTGAATGAAATGTGACTTGAAAAATCGCTGGAAAAAAAATATGAGCAGGAGATAACAATCTATTTCAACTCAAGAGGAAATGCATAGAAACTGTGCAGCAAATATTTGGAAAAGTTGGTAAACAATATGAATAGGTGTCCTGTGTAGCAGTAAGATTTGTGGTATATATGTCTTGCGACTGAAATAATCGACCTAACTACAGACTACCTGCAGTTGACCTGCGACGGAATTTCATGTAAATGTATATAATTCATTTGAATAATAAGAGAAAGCCAACCGAAATTGTATAGACATGTAAACTGTAGCAGTCGTTTGGGAGGCATAACTGCAAATGTTTGACAAAATAGTGAACAGCGTGTGAATTTAGAGAGCGTTGATTGTCAAAAGCTTGTTCGTCCCCACGCACTGAATGTGATTGATGTGACTTGAAGTATCACTGAAAAAAGTGAAAATATAAACATGAGATAACAATCTATTTCAACTCAAGAGGAAATGCATAGAAACTGTGCAGCAAATATTAGGAAAAGCCTGTAAACGATATGAATAGGTAGGTGTCCAGAGCCCAGCTTAAATAAATGAAAATATAAGCATGAGATAACAATCTATTTCAACTCATGAATAGGTGTCCAGTGTAGCAGTAAGAGTTGTGGTATATATGTCTTGCGACTGAAATAATCGACTTAACTATACTCTTCAGACTACCTGCAGTTGACCTGCGACGGAATTTCATGTAAATGTATATAATTCTTTTGAATAACAGAAGAAAGCCAACCGAAATTGTGTAGACATGTAAACATGTAGACATGTAAACACAAAACAATCATAAAAGTATGCTAGACAGTATGAGAAAGCCAACAGATAATGTGTAAACATTTATCATTGCGTGATTTAAGGAATGCTCCACAAATGTTTGAAGTTGACCCAAAAAAAAAAAAATGTACATACTGACTAATGTTAGTGAAGTAAATGCGCTTACCTTTTGAGATATTTCTAGATTCCGCAGGCAATTGTTTTCCTTGTAATAACTTAAATGTCGCGGGCGGATGTTGACGATGGAGCGTCACTACTGCGCATGCACGGTGAAAGTCGATCGCTCATGCGCATTTACTAACGTGGCTATAATTAAATGTCACTAAAAATGGAAATATTAGTTTCGAAGATTTTTCCAACAAATGGCGTACACTATCTCTAACAATGACAGGTAGAATTTCAAACCTTGATGGGTAAACTTCCGGTGTCAAAACAAACATATCCTGAAAATTTCAGCTAAATTGGTTCAGTAGTTTCCGATTCTATAGCTCATAAACAAACACACAAACATTGATATATATATATATGCCTGTGTGGTACGAACTCGCTTAAGATGAACACATGGTCACCATGTACACAGTTTTGGTCCCAGCAGGCCTGTGTTGTTATTATTTTGAGTCCCCGGCTACATGATTGTTGTTTAAAAGCACGAATTCTGGACGTTTCTTGAATGTACGGGTCGCTCAGTGAATTACTGGATGCAGAGAAGTTCATACTAGAGACGACACTGCAGATACATATAATCTATTTCGGGCAAACAAAATGAAGAAGAAGAAGAAGTGGAGGTTGAAACTAACACCCCACCCCCCAATACTATAATACCTTATGGGTAACCCTAGAAGTTATGTTATTCCCCCCCCCCCCCCCACCTCTTTCCATATTTAACAAACCAGCTGGCATTCCGGAAAAACGTTTATTTGAAGCTTTCGGTCTATCATTAGGTCTAAAAAATTTATTGAATGTTTCCACAGAATCGCGGGAATGGCTTAGACATGAATGTCCGCAAAGCGTGGGAGATGGGCTACACGGGTAAACGAGTGGTGGTCACTATACTAGATGATGGCATCGAGAAGGACCATCCAGATCTTTACAAGAACTACGTGAGTACAACGTTCACTTGCTGCCTTAGCTAGAATGTTTTGTTGTGTACTCTCCGTGTAATGTATGATGAACTGAAGTAATGATGTCGATTACATTAGACACAGATAATTCACTGACCTGACTTGTGAAATATATAGCATGTTACAGTGTTTAACACCAGCAAGGAGGACCTGCTGGTTCCAGATAGACGGTATCTATTGTGACGGTTGTCATTGCAGTGGAACCCACAGGACCAGAGGAATAAAGTGAATAGATTTCAAGCCCCCCCCCCCCCCCCCGTGGCGGGTAAATTCGCTTAATTTAGCGAATGCACTATGTGCAATCTACAGAGGGAATCGCAAATAGTGAATCGTCATAAAGGTTTATATTACCCCCAGCCTTGCTGGTTAAATGAGAGGATTCGGGGTTTGCCCACATCTGATTCCCTACTGTTATTAAATTGTATATTTACATGTAATTAAGTTCACTGACACAAATGATTACAGTTAAAATAACTCCATAACACTGCAAGAAACATTAAAACTATAACATTTATTTGGAAAATTCTAGCTAATAATCAGACTGGCTGTGGAGATAAAATTAGTCCATTATAATAGTAGACAAATTTGTCTGATTAGCTGTAGCTCAGGTTTCTTTGTTCAACTTCTAGCTAAGCCTCGGAGACACATCAGGCAGGCCGAATCTTCCAGTCCAGTCCAGACAATCGAGCATCTGCAGCTACGCTGGGAAACAACAGTTCTCGTCTACACCGTCTTTATTGTGAAACTTTAACAATGTCACAAATACATCAATGATATTATGAATAGTTTACTTCTAGAACTCTTACCTGGAACTAGAACAATAGAACAGTCCCTATACAAGCAGTTTGGAAAGTTCTCACTGGAGACAACAGTGCCTCTAGTCCTCATATAATGTTACACTACACACACATATTGTAATAGGGTAATCATAAGTGTTCACAATCTTTACTGGTACAGAACGGGAATGTTTACAGAACATGGTCCATAATCCTGATGGGGAAATATTTAGGAAACATCAGTTTCATGAATACTCTCAAGCACAAGAGTTTACATCACACAATAAGAAAGAGCATTCATCAGTGCAAAATTGTTCTGATTTCTTTACATTAGTGATCCTTTGAGGGGTTAACAAGCTTACATACGCAGTCACAATTCACAATAGGTTCTCATGTCAACCACATGGGTTCACATCACAAAAAATGAGAAACAGGGAGTGGGTTTACACGGGCCGGAAACTCATAACAGGTGCTTTGCATGGTTTGAAAATAAATAGGATTGACACATCTCCATCAATATAACTGGGTGCTGGGATAGATGTCAAAATACAATCATAGGTTACAGTGGACTTTTCATTTGTCACAGTATTAACATAAAATATACAACACTCACTCCAGTTTAAATCTAAATCCACACGTGTGCTAACTCTTATTCAGTAGAGTTAAGAAGTTCGAAAGGGTGATATATAATAATTGCAAGGCCACCTGCTGTGGTACTGAAAATATATTCCTAGTAATGGGGGAATATATATATACAACAATATTTATTACAAGCATGGGCCATACACCTCTCTTCTTCCTCTCCGACAGTGTGAATATTAAATTTAGCCACACTGTGTTATTCACTTTTCAAGCTCCTAAACCAGTCTCAGAATTATCTGGACTAAATCTAAATTAAAGCAAGACAGTGATTTATCAAGCAACTATCACCCTGAGGTTAAATAATTAGTAAGGGTTAGGTATAATGAATATACACTTCATTCCTTTATTAATTGTCTCACCATGCTGGAAAGCGGAACTGGCCGAAATTTCACATGAGGACATAAAATCCCACTTAATTAATATAATAATTAAAAATACCTGTGCACATTTCTAGTATCAAATAAACATTATTTCAATTAAGAAATAGATCATATGTTTGCATACATATAGATACTAGATCATTAACATGGTTAGTAAGGATAAGGGAATTTATCACGGTTTCTAAGCCATGTGGGCATCAAATTTCATAGAGTTTCACATGTGAAATTTACTCAGAAGAATTAGCAGCAATAGATCAAATTAAAATAATACTATTCACTCACCCCTGGTCGGGAATTCAAACACAGACAACATGACTACAAAACTGACTACCAACTTTAGTCTTAACTGAGTCAGTTGAGGAGAGCAGAATCTTGCGTCTCTTCTCCCAATCGTGCCTGGTATGAAAATGAAAGTCGGGAGTCCTAGGAAGGGGGAAGTAACTCTTGAGTTACCTCTTGCACTACTCATCATTCGTCTTTTATACCTTTCAACTCCTTAATTATAATTTTGCTATAATGATGCAATAATGAAAAAGGTAAGAAAATGTAATAATATTACCTTAACAAAGCAATACTTCAAAGGGAAGAAACAGCTGTCCAGACCAGCTTGTCCCCCCCCCCCCCCCCTCTTCTTCTATCTCTCTCTTTCTAGGATTGCAGCAGTCTGTAGGATTAACAGCTCATGACATAGAAGCCCAAAGCTAAACTATTTAATCGATATTTTACATTGCTATTGCTGTGAGTGGTTGTGCAGACAGCACCCATTGTACTGCCATGTACGAAGGCCCAAAAGAAGGTGCTGGTTGTATATTAAGGCCGTTGAAGAAACTGGATTCTGAAGATACGTTTGCTGGGGGTAATATTTGTCCGTGTCCTGAATTTAGATTTCCCTGTGTGGGTCCCATAACCCCATTTTCGAGTAAGAAGATTATTAGACCCCCACCCCTTTGTCATATGCATGTCGCACAAGGCGAATAGTTAGGGGTGCTACCTTCGAAGTCGGGGTACATTCGCCTGGTAGGCGATGTGCTAGCAGTTTGTATACAGATAAGCTGGATCTATAAATCGGATGGACACATAGAACTGAAGTCCTTGCAAAAGACCGAAGTCCAGAAGTGGATGAACAACCAGAACTTTCCGTCGAAGTTTACGCACGAAGACGAAAAAAAAAAAAAAAAAAAGAAGAAAAAAAAGAAGCACTTCCTGTATCTCTTTTAGGAGAAGAAGGAGAAGAAAGAGAAGAAGAAAAAGAAGAAGAAGAAGAAGTTTTAATATTCCTTTCAGCGGTCGCAGGCGGACACATTTTGGGCAGCTGTGTGTCCTGGCGTAAGATATCAGATGTTAGGCATTTCCTTGCATGCTCATTCCTCAGATGCAGCAGCCATCTCGTAGTATTTCTGCTGACTATTTTGGTATTAAGTGATTTGACTAAGTTGACCTCGAAGAGTACTTACTCATGCCTGGCTTTACTTGCAGGTCACGAAATCGGATATACATTTAGAACAGTTATTGAAGAAATGGTTTTAGAAAGTCAAAAGAGTGTAGTTGATGCACCTTGCTAGAGAATAAAAACAATCAACACATATGCCAGCTTGTAAGAGACTTGGCGAAGATGGGGACATAACACCCGACAGAAACTAGGAACAGAAACAGAGAAGAGCTTCCGCAAAGTTCAATGACAGACCCACAGACAGACTAGCAGAACAAGAAAACAAACCGACACAAAAGAATGCCTCATCCAGCCCCGGATTAAATTCCCGCCAACAGTCCACTTGCCTCTAGTAACAGTTTGTGAAAAAAATCGATGTCCTGTCCGAACAGGCAGGGTTTTGTAAGCGGCCATCAGAAATAACAATTTTAAAAATGAGTGAGAACACACGAGTAAATATACACATGCGTGAGCTATTGAGTGAGAAAGGGAGAGAGAAAAGAAATGGAGGAGAGAGATGGACTAGAGAAAGAGACCAAGAGAGGTATGGAGGGGGGGGGGGAGGAGAGCGAGAGAGGAAGAACGAAGCAGAGAGAAAACGAGGATAAAGAGGGTCAAGCGAGAGAGACAGAGAGCACAAAGGGGTGGACAGCAAGAGAGAGAGAGATAGAGAGAGAAAGAGAGAGAGCCAGAGGTATACGAGAGAGAGAAAGGAGAAGATAAATGAGAGGGGGAGGCTAGCAAGCAAGAGATAACCCCGTTGGGAGGGGGCGGGGATGGATTAGAAGAAGTGAAGAAAATAGACTGGAGAATGACAGAGAGTGAGACACACAGAGAGATAGAGAGAGTGTGTGTATGTGTGTGTGTGTGTGTGAGAGAGAGAGAGAGAGAGAGAGAGAGAGAGAGAGAGAGAGGGAACATAGGGAGGGGCGAAAGAGAGGAACATAGGGAGGGTAGAAAGAGAATTATAAAAGTGTTAAGGGTATTAAGAGAGGAGCGAGAGAGAGGAGAGAACGAATGAGAGAGCTCATGGGGCGAGAGGGCCAGGACTGGATAACGAGAGAGAATGATCACATGCCCATCATACATTCGTTCCTTCCAGGCTCTCACCTTTCACACAGAAGTTGTACTTTATCAACAAATCATGTTGTTATCATATAATAATATGCATATTATGAATTACAAAAAAAAAAAAAAAAACCACACACACACACACACATGGATGATAAGATGCATGGCATTTACACATCATGGAAGCTGCGTGGTCTCGAGGCAAGGCGTTTACCTCGAGTGATAGAGGTCCTAGGTTCAAGCCTCGGTAAAGGCTTGGGTTTTTTCACTTAAACTTCTAGTAATTTCCCATGGTCTCTTGGTAGTATGATCGGACGCCCGTGTGTATTGTTGCGACGAAACAATTTCCTTGGCAGTTGGAAGTCGAAAAGAGTAGCCTAACGGCGCTGCCCGGTTAAAAGTAGAACGGAGCCTATGTGGGTTACTACCCTTGTGGCATGATGTTGACCCGTCGTCTAACCTAATTTAACTTACACATCTACAAACATACATACCTATACACACACACACACACACACCTACATACATACATATATACATACATACATACATACATACATACATACATACATACATACATACATACATACATACATACATACATACATACATACATACATACATACATACATACATACATACATACATACATACATACATACATACATACATACATACATA